GCGCCCCGGGAGCCCACAGTAAGAGCTGGGCTGGCACGGGTGGGGGGCTCCCTCCGTGGACCCCCAGCCCCGCCCAGCCTGGATTCTCCCCTCCTTGCGCTTGCCTGCCTCTTCCGAACGGTGTGAATGACGGAAGCCCTGCTCCTGCCCTTCCCCGTTTCTCTGAGGGAGTTTGGCTGGCTGGTCCCAGCGAACAGTGCCACCTCTGCCCCAGGGAGCCTCCTGCAGGCAGCCCCGAAGGCAGCTGCCCCCACCCTCTGCGGCAGCCTGGCCCCCGGCCGAGCCTTTCTTCCACTCCCAGGCATTTCACTGCCTGTGGGAAGGTCTTCAAGAGGTCCTGGGATTTGTGTTGCTGGCTCTGTGGAATTGGCTTTATGTTTCTGTGCAGAAGTGCTCTGCTGCTGTGCTGTATGGTTAGGGTTCTGAGCTTCTCAGGGTATTAGTAGCTCGGTTCCTTCCGATTCTTTCAATTTCTGCCCCTTCCCATGGTCGCAGGCACCTCTGGACAGGTAAAACCCTTCTCCCCACCCTGTTGGTATGAGCTCGAGGGCTGCGGGGACACGCTGCAGCCCGGACGGGGCTGGTGGAGGCCGGCGCTGGTGCTTTTCATGCGGGGGGGGATCGAGGACACGGTCGCGCAGATTCTCGTGCAATTGGGCAGAGCAGACATTTCCTCACAGTCCGAAGACGCTTTCGACTGGCGTTGGACCGAGCCAGCAATGACATTGGCCTCATGGAATGAACTCAGCTCTTTTCGGCTTCCATGGCCTTGCTCAGTCTTACCTTTTAGGAGGTCAAATGTTTTTTTATAAGGCTGATGGCCCAGTTTCTGCTACAGTGGTTAATTTTGTCAGGCACAGTGTTGAAAGTGGGCCGTTTGTTTTCATCTCGCTGTCCTCTTGAAAAGACCAGCACTCCTGAAAGACGGCAGGCTGAGCCTTAGGGACTGGGGCTTGGGCGTGGGGTCAGGGACAGGGACAGGGTGGGAACCGGCTGGCACAAACATGGGTGCCCCGCCTGTGCCACGGGGTGTGAGGTGCAGCCCGGAGTGGGTGGGAACGGCTGTGGCCAGAGCCTTGTCCGGCTGGCTGGCCTTGGGGTGCCCTCTTTGCACTGTCCGGCTGGCTGCCCCACTCCACGGACCCCCCCGGGCATCGAGGGGCGCCTGCTTGGTGTCTCTTTGGCGGCTGCTCAGGGGCCACTCGGGCTTTTTTTGGGGAGGGGGCATGGACTTGCTGGTCTGGAATGTAGTTGACGAATTGTGCGAGATGTGATGCAGGACTGGTGAATGAGCCGTGTGAGCAAGAATCCCAGGCAGTGTGTTGAGGTAGGTGTTGGGCGAATGACATAGAAACATAGAAACATAGCGAGTCAGAAGGGGCCTCCCGGGCCATCTAGTCTGACCCCCGGCACCAGCCGGCTCCGCTCACGACATGCCCACCATGTGCATGTCCGGCTTCAGTCGCTCCATCGGGCTATTCTGCTGCGGTGGAGCAGCGAGGAAGCGCTTCTTCGCTGCCAGGTTGCATCCTCGACGTGTCGCCCGGCGGAGCTGTTGCGGGTGGTCCGTGGCCTTTGGCATGTAGGCCCAGAGGAGAGCCGGCTGAGCCCTCGGAGTCCCGCTGCATGGAATTCTCCCAACACTTTGAGGACAAAAGCGCTTGGGTCCGTAGCGACTGGCCTCCGGAGGTGTCCTGTGTACCGCCGTGTCCGTTCGCCTGCAGGAATCTCAGCTTTGGCGGCCTGCGAACATGGGCAGAGTGCTCACGTCTGTGTGGCCCACGACCCACTCCCCTGACCCCTGCCCATCGTGGCTGTGTGAGAAACCTAAAGAGGACTCCGGGTCCAGGACGTCATCCGTGCCGGTCGTGGCGAGGGAGCGCCTTCTGTTTGAAAACTCCATCCTAAGGAAACCTGTCTGGATCCCGCTGGCCGCACCATCTGGCCAGTCACCCAGATCCCTGCTTGGGTGAGGTGATTGGGCGGGTTGTGGCCAGGCAGCGCCAGGCTCTCCCGGGGGAAATGGATTATCTGGACCCATTTCAGTTGGGCCTCGGGCCTGGTTTTGGGACACGGGCTGCCCCGGCTGCTCTGTGGGGTGACCTTTGCTGGGAGAGAGATGGGGAGCGCGACCCTGTTGGTTCTCCTGGGCCTCTCAGCGGCTGTTGGTGCCTTGCCCAGCGTATCCTTCTGGAGAGGCCGGCTGGGCTGGGAGTTGGAGACACGGCACTGCGCCGGCTCCACTCCTGCCTGGCTGACCGTCTGCGGACGGTGGTGCTGGGCACTTCCGCCCTGCGCAGCACGGAGGGCCTCTGGGCCACGGAGTCCTGCCCCCCCCC